CCCTTCCGTCCCCTCCGTCCAACCTATCTCCCGTCCGCGCGTTGGCGTCCAGTAGGACATACACACATTCTCTGGAAGGGATCCTCCGCACGAGACTGTCAAGTTTTCCCCAGAACACGCGCTTGCTGTCGGCGGTGGAAGGTTCGGTGTGGTGCATCGATACAGGCAGTAGCAATACCTAACCCCATTGCTCCATACTGTGTATGTGTACAGTCGCCAACAAGCGCATCATCTGCGTGCGACGGATCCTCGCCCTGCTGCCGGACATGCAAAATGTCTTACCAAACCGAAACGGGTGGTGAGTTGCCGCAGTAGCAAGGGTGGAATACTATCTGATCACTCGAGGGGTTGATCCCTCGACCCCCTGGAGCAGCTGTTGCGGATATTTCGGGTGTGGAAGATTGCACACGGTCGTAGGAACTGCCTCCGGAACAAGTGAGGGAGAAAACAAGGAAAAACTGCACATACATGTACATGGGACTGGAACAAGACGTTGCCAACTCAGGGTACACCCGACGTGGCGATGGCACACCCCTCTCTGTGCTGGCACGCTGGCCTAGCATCTCTCGCCGGGTGAAACACTTGAATTCCCCGCGCATACGCACATGCACACCAGGAGTTGCGTTCCGCAGAACGGTGCGGTGGGAACATTTCTTCCCCAGTTCCACACAACACCTATCTTGTGGGTCGTGTTTCGCCCTTTATGAAGGAGATGGGGAGTATATACGTATATGCGATGTAGCGTAGGAAACAAATCTTCTCGAGTGACACCGGGCCTCACGCAGGCATGTGTTTTTTTATCAGAAATGCAGCAGCTCTATGTGGTATGTGTTCAATCCGAGAACGCCACCCCTGCCACCCGGCGGGTTCCGCAGTAAAGCCGAATCGCTCAGTGCTCGGCGGAAAAAGAAAGAAAAAAAAAACAATTTCACAGATCGCGCTAACATGCCCAAAAACGAGGTTAAAACAAAAGGCAAGAAAAAATTCACCCTGGCCAAGATATTCGACGCATTTCCGAACTTTTTTCATTTTGCCTTCATCGGCAGTCGATTCCGCTCGGTAGATTTAGGGGGGGTAGAGCCACCCAGAAAGTTGGTCTTACCAAAAGTGGTCGCGCTAGCTGGTCATGAAAAATCTCAGGATTTCTGGGAACGCTCATAAAAGAGACGGTTGTGGGCAGCTGTAGGTCGATATTATAGCCACCCTGCCATATGCTGACGATGGATTCGTGACCCCCCACCCCAAAATTACCCTGAGATGAAGCTTACAGAGGTTCAATCAACCCACGGAACGTCTTCCGGGGGAGGGGATGTTTTCCGGACATCCCCGCTTTCAGCATCGATCAGAGCGAAAAATCTGACAACGGATTTGTGATCCCCACCCCAAGCCTACTCGTAAATGAAATGATTTTTCTAGCTCGATCGAATTCTTTTNCTTACTTCCTTGCGTACGGATGACAGCTGCGTATGAATTAATTTATTTTCTGGTGCTTTCACTTCCAGAGACAGTTGTAAGCACTGTGTAACTGCCTCGAGGGTGCTTGACCATTTTAACACAACGTGGTGCGATTATTCCCCTTGCGCGGAGTGAGGGTTCTCGACCCCGCACAACATGATCTACCCGACCACCATTATGGATACCGCCAAAAAAAACAGAGGTAAAAACAAAACGGTATCCTGGTTGCCGAGTTCACGAAGTGAATTGGCTTGTTTTACAACGTCTTTGCCAAGCGACGAAAACCCAATCCCGATGGCAAACACCGGGGGGGGCGGCTTGTTTTACAACGTCGTTGCCAAGCGACGAAAA